CCTGGCTTCTTTACTTTTCATTCCATCTAGGAAGAGCACACACCAACTGCTGAAACTTCCTTAGCCTGACGAAGGGTTTTTGAACTCGAAAGCTTGCTTAATAATTATTCTCCAACCATTTGGGTTGGTCTAATAAAAGATATCAAATTCACCCAAGGAACCTCGTCTGCCTATAGACAGACTGGTACACTCAGGGATATTGCCTGCAGGCTGATGGGCTTTCTTTTCCAGTAATTAAAGCCCATCAGTGGGGTGTCTGTGTGCTGGCAGGGAAAGGGAGCTATCAGTGTGTCCTGCCAGTGAAAAGAAGGGATTGAAATGAAAAAGTTCCCTCTGGCATGTGTAATTGAGAAATCATCAGTGCTCTCTATAACTAGCTGTTGTTTTTGTGCGAGTGTGAGCCAGAGGAGTGCAGGCTGCTTGGCAAAAGAACAGACTCCAGCTCTCCCTGTTGTTATATCTCACTCTTGGGAGAGAAGTGTGTAAATGTGTCGGGGGGGGATTAATCCACTGTCGCTGTGGATTAATGCTGACAGGAGGGCTGGACCGTGACAAGATAGATGACAGGGTTACACGGCAATGCGTGAGAACCCTGCCCCTTTCAAGCTAGCACTGTTTTCATTGCGTGACTGCTTTCCTTCTTTCCTCCAGCCGGCTTCCACCTTGTGACAGGCTCCTTAACTCCTTCCTTTCCATCTGTTGGAGGGTGTGCATGCATGCAGACAGGAAGAGTCACGGGGCAGGACAAAGGAAGCCTGGCACAGAGTTCAGAAGTAGAACACAATGCCAAACCCTGCTTTGTTTGGAGGCAAGTTCCTTTTGCCAGAGCAGTCTGGTATGTCAGCACTGCCCTGAGCACATTGCACAAAGTTCATTGGGAGCCTAAAGGCCCTGGACCTGCATTCTCCATGTGTGCACAGCACTCAGGCAGAGCTCCCAGCAGTCACTTTTCTACAGATAACTACATGAACAAATGCACTGCTTATGGCAGGAACTTGATGCTCAAACTTTTATTTATTGTTACCATAAATGCAGAACCACCACACAAGATATGCCCTACTGCTGCTTATGGCTTTGCTCAGGCCATCTGCTTGCAAATCCCAGCATATTCTTGACCCACCCTGAGCCCACTGGTGCCACTGACTCGAGCATTTCTGTGCAGTGATCCTCAGGCTTCCCCCTTCCACCACAGCCAGCTATAGGGAGTAGTAGCCTTTTCCTGAAGCAAGGTGACAGTGACTTCTGTGGGTAAGGATATCAACTATGTTTGGTTCAACTAGTGTAAGAAAATAGCTATTGGCATAGGTGGGTTTTCCTTTACAATCAAAGGAGGGAAGTAATACATTCCCAGCAGATAAACAGTCCTGCAGAAAACATCACCTGACTTCTGAAAGCCCAGGACCAATGCAACATGCATACAAAGAGTGTCAGTAACCATACGATGCTATCCTTGCTTGGTGCAGGGGGCTGGACCTGATGATCTTCTGAGGTCCCTTCTGGCCTTACAATCTATGAATCAACTGAAAGGTGGCTGGGGGCTTGCCTTGCGTCAAATGCTAATCTACATGAAGGATGGAGTGGAGCACAGCAATAACAGCCTTCAACAACCTGCTAGCTTTCAAATAATAATAATTTCACTTCCACTTTTCAGATTAGATTATACCTAGAGTCTTATAATTACCACTTAGAGGAGAATCTTCAACCTGGTCCAGAGGACTCTTGGTAGTGACAAAAATTGTGTGTTCACAAAATGGAATGGAGGTGAACCTGTAGTCGATATGAAAAAATATTTCACCTTGTTAACCCTCTCAACCATCAAGTTTCCAAGATTCAAGTTCAAATTTGAGATAAAGGGATGATTTTGTGAGGTACCAAGCAAAAGCAACAGCTTCTTTGGAAATAAATGGGAGCTGTGTCTGCGTAACACTAGCTAATTCCCATCTATCCAACATCAACTTGCACTTACATCCATTATGCTATAGTCCCTTTCTTTCCTGAAAATGGTCCTTTTAATGCCAGTCGAGACCAAATAGATCTCCAACCCAAGAAGGTGTTATCTGTAGTTATACAAGAAGTCTTGGACATTACCTCACTGTGAAATAAGGGAAGTAGATCTGGTCAACATCAGACAGTGGCAGGCAGCAAGGACGATAAACAGGAATTTCAGTATTGATGGCAAAATGCAATTGGAATCATGGCGTTCCAAAACTCCTCAAGTAGTGTAGCAGTTTCCAGCATGATCATAGACATACAATCATTACTGAAGAAGCCTGGACCTTGTTTAAGGCAAGTAAGAGCTTGTCTGGGTAGTGGAAAACATAATGCTAGAGAGAGTAACATCCATAATGTCAGCACTGGGCTGTCAGCCAAATGAATGCTTAAGATGATATGTAAATAAAAACTCCAAAAGGCTCATCTTTTTAACAGTACTATCTGAGGAGTATAGGTCAAGGCAGAGAATATTCTTGGCAGTAGCATAAACCCAGATAAACTAGTTTTGCCGTAGTTTGTTATAAATTAAGACTTCAAACCAATTGCCTTTTCTTTGCAGCCATTTCAATTGTTGATATTTTTGTTTGCTTTCAAAATACAAATTTGAGATTAACTTCAGTATAAGTGTTATTTCAACAACTTGGCTCCTTCCTTGAGTTTTTTTGTACCATCTGAAAAGAGGTTTTGAATAAAGCACAGCCTGGAGGGGTATTAGATAGTAGCTACTTGGTATTACAGTTTGCATTCCACATTTGAGGATCCAGAAGAGTGCTCCAAGGATTAAGCAATAAAATCTCACATCCCAGTTGGGGTATATAGGAACACCTTGACCTTCCTGACAGCTGCAGGCAGTGTGTAGGAATAAACATGGACCCACAAGAAGATAGCAACATTATATAAAACAGTGGGGGTGGAAAGAGGGGGAGGAAAGAGAACAAGGTATCCAGTTAGCCACATGAGGAAACTTAGGTAATTTATGATTTGGCTTATCTTGCTACACCACTCTTTCTTATGCAAGTGATACCTACTTCATTACCTAAAAAAAGGCAAAGTGTGGTGGCTACTTTGGGGGCTTTGAAACCGAAAACAAGAAACAGCTTTTCTTACTTCAGTAAATAAAGAGGACTCCAGCAAAGTTGTAGTTTGTAATGTAATACATAATCTTCTTGGCTGCTGGTAGTGTCCACAGTTGCGTGCAAGTCTTCTGTTCCAGCCCCAGAGTGCTCAGCAATGGACTCTACCTGCCAGCACTGTTCAGATCAGTGTGCAGAGGAAAAGACAGACAGCAGTTTTAACACTGGAACCACCACTGCCATGGTGGTTGTGCTGCTCTGATTTTGATTAGTCAGGGGCATTAAAACTGAACTATACACATTTGTAATTCAGTTAGCTAAAGCTAGAGAGTGAAAGTGAACCAGCAAGTTAGATTTAAGTCTGGATACTTTAACGTAAGTCATTACTGACCTCTGCACCTAGAGTAGCACAGGTCATGCCAGGTCATTTGTTCCTCCTTTCCTTCATTGTTAAGGCTCTTTCAAGCTGAGGTTCTGGTAAGGGAACCTAAGCCCTAGTAGTATTGGAATGAGGTAACACCAACTGATGCAGCAATCCTACTGTTTTCAATCTAAATTCTGACCTCTAACAAAGATTCCTAGTTATAATTGAAAACACACCCAAGGGCAAGCTCTGGTGTCCCACAGTGGGTTTGTACATTTGCAGAACTAACAAACACGGATCACTGGAGTCCTTGAGTAGCACTTCTCCACACTTGCACTAGTAGCATCTGGAAAAGTTTAGCATATGCTTCTGAAGCTGGGTGCTTAGGAAAACTTTGCTGACCACACACAATGGCATAAACCTGGTTGGCTGTAGGCCCAGAAAGCAAAATGCAGCGAGTTGCGAGGCACAGCTGTTTTTTCTAGGAAAGAACATGCGACTGTTTCTCAACAACATGACACCATGCCTGTGTTCTTCCATCTGCAAGTCAAATTCAGTTCCTTGGGCCTTGTGGGTTTTGCATTCCACATTTGTAGCATGAGGCTTTTTAATTTGCGTACAAAATGCAAACTGAAGAACTGATGGTGTTGCCAAATGTTCCTGGGGCTGCAAAGCAGATGCGTCAGCCCTCAGAGGACTGGGAGCAAGATATTCGTGACTGGTACCTACACAGCGTTGAAACAACAGCAAGATACATTACCATCTACCAGACAGCTGTCACTAGCCTGAGGGAGGGAAAGGAAAAGCAAACCACAACCATGCCAGTATAGCTTTTCCTTAGCCCAGGTACTCCAACCTATCATTTCCCCTCCCAAACTCTAGTACTTACCATTACTTCTAAGTATACAAGATAGCTTCAGTGGTTTGCAATTTCAGTTCAACAGTATTCCTTTACAATTAATTGTCGCATCTAGAGCCCAATTTAGGCTTTTAAGCAATGTTGTCTTGAACACTGCTCCCTGCCCCTACACATATACCGTCACCGTAGGAATTTATGACCAACACTGTCAACTGATCACATCCTAGTGCTCTCCAGGACTCCCTAACCTTTTAAAAAGGTAAGTACTACAAGGGGAGCATAGGAAAATCATGTGCTGTACAGAAGGAATATCAGTTTTGCTTTAAGGATTAAAGAAAGGTTGACAACAGGCTTATTTTTAAGTATTTATCATCTCTTAAGGAGGATTATTACTTTAAAAGTTAAATAGCCTGTTTAACAAACAACATAGACCTTGGTGCGGAAATGCTCAGCTGTACAAGTTACACACACCCACATGCCCACCCCTACAAATTAGGAGCCTAAATCCCCCTGACTTTTGCAAACCTCTTTCTACTTCCACTCTCTCTGAGTGCTTAAAACTGACAGGTTTTACAGCTAGATGTAAGAGTCTGTTTCAGACTGTTAGGAAACTAGCTTTTCTTTAGGTCAGCAATTTCATACCACTGGAGGTAAGACTTTAAGGAGCACATCATATCTAAAGTTATATTTAGAAACAGAAAGATTTGCATTTAGGGTGAATTTAATCATAGAGCGCAAACAGACAAGGCGGTACAAATAATTGACATTCTAGGATGATAAACATTTTCAAAACACATAAGAGGAAAGAATAAAGTACTTAACAAGAGAGTGTGGGGGGGGGGGAAGATGACATTTTACCTTTTGGTGCAGTTGAAGCTACATAATAAAGCTAAGTAGTTATTTACTGGGAAATGAAGAGCCAGCATCACCACCCATCTTCATAAGGTGGCCTTTTCTTGAAGAAGTACATTCTCTCACATCAAACCAAGTCAAAATGCAAGCTCATGAAGTCTCAGAAGCTGAACAGAGTCACTAGCTGGTTCTTAGGAGATTACTATGGGAAGATACATTGTCAAAAGCAGTTTCGCCAATTCTGAAAACTCCACTGGTCTTAATTGATGTCTTGCTGAGACCACTAATATAATCAGTATTTTTCACAACTCTTTATTAAAAGCAGGATTCTCATACAGTTCTGAGATAAAAGAAAAAAAATAGCTACTGACAAAACCAGCATATTTGCAGTATCCATAACAAATGAATTAGTAGAAGAAATAGATTGTGATCAATCTGAAACACCATTATTATACTTTTAATCTGCAGCACTGTTTTGCTTTTTTGTCATTAATCATTAAACTGGGAAAATGTTTAAGTTACTACTCTTCACACTTGACAAACCCATGAACCTTGCAAAATTGTGAATTGTTGCGAAGTGCAGTCACAATACTTGCATTATAGCCACCTAAGGATCCAACTTGGTAGCAGTTACTGTTGAATGATGCCTATGGAGACCACAAATCCCCTGCATTTTCTGAAGAAACCATGTTAGAGTGTTGTGCAACTGCAGCCCCAAGAAGAAAATATTCCACCAACCAGTTAGCTGCACCTGATGCGTCTCAGATGTGTCTGCTAAGCTGTGACAGTTTCCTCAGACAGCCTTTTCATGGCGACTGCAAGGGAGCAACTAAGAGTTGAAATCATAAAGGGAATGCAGCCTCCTGTGGCCAGAAGACTCAAGTTACAAATGAAATGGAATGGGTTTCTCAGTCTTTAGCATCTCCAACACCATCAGCATTAATAGCAAACATGGCTTCAGCCTCAGGAAGGCAAGGAGAGTCATAAATCTTGCATATTCTGGTTTCACCTCGACCTTTCCTCAGATACAGCCTAACAGAGAAAAAAAAATGTGTTAACATTAAGCTTTTGAGGGCAGAAGATCCAACTTACTGGGGGACCTGCAAAGCTTTATGAATATTGTACAATACTACACAAATGTTTTTGCATTAAAGAGCAATAAAAGCCAGTTGTCAGTGCTCAAAGGTTTCCATGGCTTTTGAAAAAGCAGACAAGAAATTATATCAACTCTGTATTAAAAAATTGCAAGTGTCAAGTCAGTAATTCCAAAAGGCCTTTGCACAGTAATACAAGGGAAAAGCGATGCTGTAGTCTCTTACCTGGTGGTTGAGGCATGTGCTATGATGTTCCCTCCAATAGGTTTTTTAGGGTCTGCAGCAAACATGGCTGCTCCATCGACCTGTGCTACCACCTGGTTTGTGATCACAACTGCTACACCAAACTAGCAGGAAAGAGATACACAAGTCAAGTTCTTTTCTACAAAGTATACAAGAAAAAGATAGTCTCCAACATCCAGATTTCCTTTTTAGATAGTCCTCTCTATATCTAGAGCTGATGAGATCTACTCAACCCTCCCCCACAAAGCAACTGGAAATAGCTGTAACAACAAATAGATAATCCTTTCACAAAGCAAAGATCATCAGTTAAGAAAAAATCCATGGAAAATGTCAGAGGTAATGGAGTTACATGGAGAATGAAAAGAGACAGAGCCCACACAGTTTTTACCTCATCTGCAAGTCGAAGCAACATCCGCAGAAATCTAGCCAGGTGCATCTGCCTGGCTGACAGCTCACCCCGGCCAGAGTAATCAGTTCTGTAAAGGGCTGTGGCACTGTCCACTATCAGCAATGCATACCTAGAGGATATCATATATGCGTATTATTGACTCAAATATTTCAAGGCAGGAACCAGGGCTTTGGTTTGTAGAGTGCCCAGGACATCATGGTTAGAACTGGAAAGATAGGTCAATGCAAGTCTCCCTTCCAACTATGAGGAATCTTGCTAAAGTAGTATAACTTGTATTGCAGGAGTGTCTCTTTAAAAGTAATCTAAATGTCTTACGTAGCATCATTTTAGTTTTAGGGACAATCCAGCTGTCCTCTACTGGTTTCATTTATTTTAACAGTGAGAGTGCTACTAGCAAAAGCCACTATTACTTGGCGCTTACATCAGTTCTTGCCTTAAGGGTGGCATTATGAACTGATCAGGTCTAGCAAGTGGAGAGAACTGGCACCAGCCCAATACATTTTCAAGTGGAGCTGTACTTATTAACCCAATTTATTGATCAATCTCCATAATACAATTAAGGTTAGCGGGGTCCACTCCCATTCTGTGACATATGAGGAAGCTGCAGTAGTACAGGAACTGAACAACAATGCTAGCTATCAAGAGCTAAGAACTGATGGAGCAGGATGGAGGCTGTGGATTCTGCACCACCAAAACATGATCCTGCGAGCTGTTGAGTACTGACCAATCCAGTTAAGAACATGTGGAGTCCCTGAGAGTCCAAAACATTTTTCATATGGTTAGAAATTAAGCATATACTTAAGTGCTCTGATAAATCCACCTAGATTTAATAAATCATATCAGCACCTTTGAGGATCAAGTCTTTAATGAAGTTTCCCATTCCAATTGAAACTAACGATTTTGATTATAAACCAAAGCTCTCACAATCCACTGGTTGTACTGCAAAGCTTTTTTCTTTAAAAAACAAAAACAAAACCAAAAAAAACATTCCATACATTTGAAGTTAACAAATACTGCTAAAAACGATTCTGAACTAGTCTTTACAAATCATTCTATGGTTGTAGCAAGTTACGGAGAAAAGGTGCTAATCTAAGCTACCACCGCTTCAGCCAGAAGCTCTAGCTAGATTCTTATAAGAATCATCCAGAATTTGACTAGAGACAGAATACCAATTAAGAAGCATTTACAGCTGAATGCAATACTCACTGGCTGGATCCCACCTGCTGTGGAATGACTATACTTTAATAGCTGCCCCTGTCTGGCAATTAAGAAAGCAAATGCATCTAGGAAAGCTAACTTAAGTTTTTTCAGCAGTTACGACAGCTTTTACAGTGTTGTCATTTAAAGTGTATAAATAATTTCTGCTTATGTCAACTGTTACCTTGATTCTGCCATCATAGCAGATGCCTGATACAGGAGCTGGGTCTGATGGTCTGTGTTAAACCCTCGAGCATACGCTACGTTATCAAGAACATCACTGCCAGATAAGCCATACCTAGGGAAGCATATCAGATGAGAAAATCAGATACTGCAAATCTCCTGATAGGAACTGCCAAGCAGATGCACCTGAAGGCAAGAGGGAACTGCCTCTGAGGAGAGAGAGAGAGAGAGATTACAGATAAATAAAAGCTAGTCACTAAAAGAAAAAAAAATGATCAAAAACCAGAAAACAGTGCAATGAGGAGATAGTAGTCTTAGAGTGATGTTGTAATCGTGAAGGTCCAGGAAATATGCAAGAAGCAAGGATTTTTGTAGGCAATTATTTTATTGGACCAACTGCATGACTGGGATAGATTTAGACAAGTTGTTGAATGAAATGCTTACAGGTTCACCTTCAACCATGCTGCACTACCCCTCAGAGAAAGCCAGAGCGAGGGGGAGCCCAAAGATTCCAGATGCTGTTGCAGCCAAAGCAATGGGGGGGAGCAGTAGTCAGGCAGGAGCCCAGGGCCCACAGCTTAACCCTTCAGTGGCTGCATGTGCTAGTTGGACAGCCCTGACCTAGACAGTCACTAGGGATGTCAGAATGGCCAGTTTCCAAGAGTGGACTATTACTGCTTGTTTAGTCTGACATATTTCAAAATCCAGGTATGTGACTTTCCACTCTCTGGTCCAAAACTAGGAATTTAACCAGGCAAGTCATGCTGACACTGAGTAAATGAAGGATCTGGGCTCAAGTTCTGGTGCTCTTACAGAAAAAAGCAGATACTTATCCTATTAAGATAATTCTGATTTTCACAGTTAAATGCATTCAACTTGCTCTTAATTTCTGTAAAACAAAAAAAAAAAATGCAAAAACCTGACTCCTTAGCTAACTATAGCTTTGGATGATGCACATTGAGATTTTTGGCTACCATTCCGTCTGCCATTTCTAACTCTCAGTCAGCTATGAGCAGTAGTAATAATCTGTGCCACTTTATGATTATTAGTTGATATGCCAACTACTAAGTAATTAACTCCTATCTACCAAATGAAAAGTCTTCTGTGCTCCAAGTAAAAAACTCAAAAACCAATGCTGTTACATTTCAGCAAGAAAACTTCACATCCAGAGTGCTGTTCTTTTTATGCTTGCTTCACTCCACAAATGCAAGGAGGCCAAATTACTAGCCCTCCTTCTTCCTTAAAGTGAACCGTGTGGGTCAGGAAGCAGATAGTTATACTAGCTTGCTGCCTTTAAGAACACTTGATTTGCCAAGCAGTCATGGAAAGGCCTGTGAACACAAGTTTATGCTACATACAGACTGGTAGCTTTGTTGTGTGATATTATACACCAAACATATTATGAAGTTGGCTATAGCATGGTGGAAGAAGCTACAGCTACTTCATTTAATGCAGCCCATGTGGGGTCTTGACAGAGAACCCACCTCTACAAGGAATTAGCTGAGCAATGGGAATGACTAAAATAAAGCTGAGGTTGAAGAAATCTCTCAGACAGGAGGGCTTCTGGAAGTAAACGCCCTTTGGCTGCTTGAAAAGGACACAATTAGTTGCAGATTGTTAAATCATAGCTTTTTATAAGACAAGCAAGGAGGATTCTTCTTTTTTAAGGAAGAGAATGGATGCATGGAAATTTGTTTTGTTTTTTAGAAAAAGCAGCAGACACAGCATTCTGATGAACCACAAACTTGAATCAGACTAGCCAAAGTGCAGCAGAAAACACTATAAACAGTTTTATGCTGGGTCTCTGTAGAACATCTTAGCCATTGACTTCAAATCAAATCAGCCTTTTGGCAAGATACAGCATACTTCAAGCAGAAACAGTGCTCATTTTATTGGAAGTTTCAGCTGGTTTGGCATCTGGTTTGTTCTGATGCCACGATTTCAGTCACTTACAAGGTGAAGTAACGACTACATCACTTATGACAACATTAGAAGTTAGGTTTATGACCAAATTCCAAGGTGAGAAAGTATATTTTGTGGCTGAAAAAGCCTCTGCCAGTTTAGTTGGCTAAGATGTGTTTTGTTTCCTGTCCTAAAAACTGTGGTGTTTCTCTATTCTTTTAAAGTTGCTTCATTCCAACAGTTGGTGAAATGCTAGAAGACAACAAATATTTAAACCCAAGTTAATTAAATGTAAGGGCCAATCTAAACATCACTTCAAATATAGTCAGAAGTGCTGCTTGCAGAATGTTAAACAAAAAACGAAACAAAACAAAACTGCACTTCACTGGAAGAACCAGAGTGTTACTTTGCAGTGTCTGTAAGGATAGGGTTCTTCAGCAGGGCTTTTTAGCGCTGTTAGCTAAAGCTGATTCAATCAGTTATTAGATAAAAGCACTAAAAAAGGCTCCACTAACGCACCTGATCTTTACAGATGTTGGGCAAGCTGGGTTGAAGTAACATGCTACCTCTTCTGGGCATGTGCAGGGCTTGGCACAGGAACGCAATGAGTTTAAAGTAAAGTGCCATTTTGGGGGTTGGTTGCTTTTGTTTTTTTAAATGCCTGCAAGCCCCCACTGAGTGCTAAGCACCACAGAAATGGTGCTTTAGCTCAGAACGGCTCTGAAGTTCCACAGGAAAAATTTCCTTGCTGTCCATCTCAATGGAACAGCTATACAAGCTTTAAAACATAATCAGGATTTTTACAGAAAATATTTTGGTTGCCTCTAAAGACAGCTAGGTAACTGCAGTGATATTGTAGCACAAGTATGTAAGCTCATGATAATCTTTTAAGAGGAAGGTAACAGCATGATCAAACTGCTTGCCTGAAGAGAATAGGATTAACTGTTTTTCAAGCATACTGCAGAAAGTGCTTTGACATCTTTCTTGACAGGGACCTGTTCCTAATGAGTCCCATGAAAAAAATGTATATTTCATAGATTTCATAGACATTAGGGCTGGAAGGGGCCTCAGAAGATCATCGAGTCCAGCCCCCTGCCCAAAGGGGATCCTTTATGTTTCTAAGGTAACAGCTTAAGTCAAGGCTGTCTTGGGAGCCTGCAAGGGGTTAGCATACAGTCCACCCCCCCCAGTAGCAGAGGTCTATGGGGTCCCTCTCCCTTCTCCATTCACTGGGGGCAGGGTAGGGGGAGGTGTCCCAGGAAGGAGGGGTGGGCCACCTGCTTTGCCTAAACAGTGCACACAACAAGGAAGAGCTGGGCTGTGTGTCCTGGTCACGTGAGAAGGGGCCTGGTTGCCACCAGGCAAGACATCAAGGCATGAGGGAGGCTGCAGGTGGCCTCCCATCATTCAGATATTGGACAGCCCTGAGGAAGGTGCAAGACAAAAATCTTTCAAACACACAGCACTTAAGGCAAATCTGGATTTATAAGGGGACAGCTAATAAAAAATAAATTACCATCAACTGCTCTTATAAGGGCTATTTATGGAAAAAAACAAAGAACCTAACATTTGTGAGACAAGTTCTGTCTGCCAAAAACAATTATAGCTACACTTGTTTCAACAATGCACGTATGTTGCTAGACAGCTGGACTGCAGGAAGATATCTTAAGAAGAGTTCTTACTGCAGTATTCCAGTGGAATGTATTTAAGGAGTTAAGCTGATGTACAAGATGATGACTGGACAATCTAATAAATCAATAACGTCACACATTTATTTTAACAAGATCTAGGGAATTTTTAAATGAGAAGTGCAGACCTTTCAGCCACAGCAAGCAGACGTTCAGGACGGAACGTGCCTTCTGTGTCAATGTACATAGCCTTTCCTTCGCCACCGCCTCGGTCAATGGGAAGCTAAAGGGAACAGCAAACAAATGTCATCATATTTAGCCTTCTCATTTGAGAAATGAAACCCAATTACTTAACAGTTCTACACTTTGATATATCATATGCATTAGCATTACTCTAAAGTCAGACTTCTGCAGAGATAATGACACTGGAAAATACAAAACTTCCAAGGACAGAAGGAACCATACTTTTCAAATCAGGGCATTTGAGTGCTCAAAGAAGCATTTAAACTCCTAAAATTTGAAAGCCTTCTTGATACTTCAAACACCAAAAAGCTCACGTGGGCCAGATCCAAAATATGAACGTTAGTATCTAATGCAAAACTTAACTCTAGATGTAGGCACCTAAAGTCTCTCTCATTCGAAAGAACCCAACCAGCAACTGCATAATCCCAGAGACCCTTTAATTGACGGCATGTCTCGCTCTTTGACCTAAAGTTCCCTAGATGCTCACATCACTGGTTCTGCACATACCCAGAAATAGTTCTGCCTGAGCAGGAAGACAACCAGATTGTACTCCACCTATCAAATCTCACAGATGTGCCTAATACCACCCTGCCTGAGTCTCTGACAATCTGTAATACATCTACTTTGTAACAACCCCTTACCCTTAAGACTGAGTCACAAAAAAAAACAGCAAGAAGGACCCACCCGTGTGTTGCATTAATAGTTTTTCAGGGACTCTAGCAGTGAGAAACAGAATCATACTTCGGTATCAAAGCCCACTTACACACCTACTTGGAGAAATAGAATTTGGGCATTATCTCCCACCTAAGCCTCACTGGAATCCAGACTCTAGGTGGAGGGGCATCTAAGTCTTCTGAGACATCCAATCCAGAGCAACCTAACATAAGCACCAATAGGATTGGATCCTTCACAAAAATAAAAGAGGGTGCAGTTGTAATGCAGCTAGAGGCGGTGATGCTGCCACCACTCTCTATTATATTTAATAGTCAACATAACTTCTCTTTAGCAAGGCAAGTGGGAGACTTAAATTCAAATCTTCCTCCTTCCAGAAGCATTCCCAAACCACCAGGCTATCGAGGTGGCTAGGGACACTTTCCACTCCTGTTGAAGCTCTGCCATGATGCAAAGAATGCCAAATTCATGTTACATAAAAGCAAGCACAAGTGAGAACCAGACTCTGCAGCCTATGCTAGAGCACTCATTTAGAATGGAGGAGTCCTGCCTTGTAGCCCCAGCTCCCAGGTTTCTTTATCCAACGACTGTTTAATGTAAAACTATTATTAAAAAAAAACCCAGTAATCCTGGCAGCAGGGAATGAAACCTAGGATTACCTTCTATTGTAGGCAAATACTCTTGTGCTCACTCTTTGGGCCCATGGTCCTTACATTCTTTGCCTAGGCACCAAACACATGGTTTTGAATTCCATGCTGGGGTCCAAGCACCTAACTTGCAGGTACCCAAGTCTTTTACTACATCCTGCCCTTGGTAACCCTAATTTAAGTGGTCAAGTTGAGCATTCTGCCCTTAATATTTTATGGTACACTAGCCATTAAAAAGTAATGTGTCCAAGAACCTATTTAAATAACCTTTTTCTTCTGTCTTAAGTTACTGTCTCTACCCATACTGATTTAGTCTCAGATAATAAGGGACAACTGAAGCTCCCCCTCCCTCCAAAGGAGGTTAAGTAAGCTTGGATACGTAAAATGCAAGTAGAAAGGAAATGAGCTGAGCGCAGTATGAACAGCTTCATCTCTTTTTCTCTGTTGTTGGCAAGGAGAGAACTTCTCTGCAGTTGAGAGAGAAACAAAAGTTTATCTTCAAACCCCGCCAAGGAACCAGAATGAGGCACGATGGATGCTTATTTCCGTCATCAGAACATATTTTGTTTTTTATTCCCATACAAGATGTATCATGTTACTTTCTTCCTATTTAAATATATTCAGGCTTTACTCAGATTATCCCCAGAAGCAAAATAAAAAAGTGCAGCGAGATGCTGAAAGTTGTCAGTTCAACCCATGGGGTCAGTTTTGATGGCAACTACTGTACAGATTACAGGTCTACAATTTTTTTCCACTACTTTTGTAGCTGTGTTCATGTGGATGACTGGAAGTGTGCCTTAATTAGGTAGAGTTTAGACGCAACATATAGTTTAATAAAATGAAATACTCACTTGACAGGTTACTGCCAGTGTATGACACAGCTGTGTCTTCCCAGTGCGGAATTCCCCAAACAGCTCCGTTATGGACCCTGTCTCTATTCCCCCTTGAGGAGAAACAAAATGGAATCACATTGTCACGGGCTCCAAATAAGTCACGAGTATAAGCAAATAAGAATTTCAGACTTTTAGGGGCTCAGGCATCACGTAGTCTCTATACTGGGGAACTTTATTTTAGAATTGATCATCTGAATTTCAGAATTCTTCCTTGCAACCACTCTTCTGAATACCCAGGATTGATAATGCTGTGGAAGAGAATCCCAGGCAAGACTGTTCTGATGAAGGGAAGTAAGCTAAATTATAGAGATGACCTTTCATTTTGGTTTTATTTTGGGAGGAGGTGGAGAAAGAGAGAGGATAGGAGCCAATTTTCCCATTATTAAAAAAAACATTAAAATCAGTAATATTCAATGCTAGGAGAGTATTAAAGTGTTTTAACAGTGGCGTTATACTCTATATAAGTATTTCCCAACCAATGTTCCACAGCACAAAAGTTTGCCATCAGAAATGAACAGGTGTGCTACAGAATTTTGCCAAGGCAATGAGCTACAATAGGTATGAGGATGGGGAATGCCTTAACAGGTGTGCTGCAAAAAAATTGTTTTCATGCAAGTGTGCCTTGGGCTGGAAAAAGTTGGGAAACACTGCTCTATATGAGCAGTGGAGTGTCTTTCCCTTTTAGATCTACTTCTGTAACTTTCTCTGAAGAGGTGCCAGCTGAATGGAACTGATCATGAGGAAGCATTATGAAAAGATATTCAAATTAAACCAACAGAAAGCCCCTTCTACCACACATGGGTGTGGGAGGCTTACATTTTCTGGAAACAACATAGTGGTACCTGCCTAAGAATAATTCAAAAAGCGCGTAAGTAGACTTATCACCTTGAAGCAGTTTATCGAGCTCTTTGGACCCAGTGGTTATCTGGATGATCTCTGACCTCCGCTGATGGAACGCTGTTGCTGTGGTAAAACCCATCGGAACTAGTTTAGCTGCTTCTGCCTAGAGAGACAAGGGTAGCGAAACCAAGCTAGGTATGGGGAAAGAAATGTGTACCAAGGATTCATCAGCTGTTTTAACCCCTCCTATAGTTAGTACAGGAATTTTCTTTCTCCATGTCGAAAAGAAATATTTATACGTGCTAAAATTAAAATGCTTGTTAGTTTATTTTCTTGAGAGACTATATGTTCTTCTTTGTACCTCATATAATGCCATTCAAAGAAATAACCTGAGCACTGCTTCTGCCTATTTTATAGCAATAAAAGTTTTCACAAAACATTAACCATTTTACTCTACAGGCATGAAGCCAGGAATTTTTAGCAGGTGGATATATACCATTTTCAAATCAGAGAAAAAAAGATTGAGTTGAAATATTTTATCAGCTTGTATTTTGATAAATGTAAAGTAGATGTTTCTTAGGTTGTTATGCAGTATAAGAAAATGTTATGCAATAAGAAATCAGCGTTCACTTGCAATCACAAAAGAACAGATACCAAACTGCATTCTTGTCTATCGTACCTAGCCCACAGATTCAGAAGCAAGCAAGTGCCACGACATGAACCAATAAGGCAAACTCAACAATCTAACACTTCCAAGTAACAACATCTGTATGCAGGAGATTACCCACATTTTTTATTCAATTGTCATGACTGCTTCATGGCTCATTTGGCATTATAGCACAGAAGTCTTAAGATATAGAACCACAAAGCACTGTTCTCACTACAGCTGGACCAACACTGCTGTTGTATGGTTTTAGCAACACTGGCTAGAGAAATAGTCTACTAAGGGTGTTTATTTGCCATTGCCATCATTTTCATGGGGAAAAAATTATTTGCCTCTTCCAACTCCCCACAAAAAGGTTTTGTGGTTTTAGTAACCCCAGCCTGCTCAGGAACTCTTCCATAAGTTTTTAAAAATTGGCATTATAATAGATGAATGCATCCTAGTGATGTAAAAGTACCTGAATATTTAGCTTAATAAACAAACACTTCAGAGTATTGTTAAAATGACTTCAATTTAGCAATAAAAGCATTATGACAGTGTGCCTTTTTAGTACATTTTTATTCTCTAAGTTATAGACTTCAACATTTTTCCGGGACAACAATCTTAGTAGTCAGTGATAATGCTAATTCCCCACCACTTGAGGAACCAATCAGATTCTACTTCAGTATCAATAAATCTGCATAATTCTTCTCTTGCCTCCACCCATCTTTCTAAGTAGGTATAAAATGGCCCAAGGTTTTGAAAAAGCAGCTAGCACTCATGGATGTACAACTAGTGGCATTTTAAAGGGGCCTCATTTCAGAAAAAGCTGGATATCCAAAACACTGAGCCTCTCAAAGCTTGCTAGTCACTTTATAAAATTGTGGTAAGTAGCTGCAGAGTTCTGAAATTCTTTACAGGTACATAAACTTTTCATCCAAATGTAATTACCAAGATTTTGTCAGCTTTCGCTTCACTGATGCCTTTAATATTAAGTAGCTCCTTCTTGGGTGCATAAGCAACAGCCTCAACTGTGTGAAATCCAGCTTCTTCTAACTTCTTCACATCGTTTGCATGTATACCACATTGCTGAAAGGAATAAAAAATACTTATGGTAGGTACAGTGTTTTGAAAGATACTGAAAGCCTAGAAACCCTCCAACTGTCTTCTGTAAGGACTGGATCAAGGAAAAGAATACTGAATTCCTCATTCAGTTACACCCAAAAAAAAGCTGAATAGACTGTCCTCCCCCTATGAATTCTCCTTTACACTATGCACTGTTTGTGCAGGTCATTATCAGTACCAAAAATAACATGGAATAGGAAGCATACGTGATTCTCTTTTTGGCTATCTAGGCACAGAAGGAGTAGTAATACAAAGCCATGTAAATAACTATGATTTTTAATTTTTACTAATGAAGTTTTAAACAAGTTCAAGAAAAGGAGACTATCTTCAGACAGGATATTCAGTAAGTTAGTTGCATGGTATGGTACAGAATGTAACCTCTTTGCTAACAGTTGCTGATTTACTTTTGTTTTGATGTACTTTATACAAACCACAGATCAGCATTTGTCCACCTTTCACATTAAATACACCTCAAGTTAAGTTTTGATGCTTTCTGTAACACTTTGGACTGGAATTTTTTGACAAAAATTAGCTAGGCAAAACTAGTGGCCACTCCTAAATACAGTTCTCATTGAAGAATTGTTTCGCTGCTTGCATGGCAGCTTGTTCTTCAGATAGCAACTCATTCCATACCTCCAGCCTAGATATCAGCTGGGGACCAAAGCTCTCTTCCTCTGCTGATGTATCTGCATTTGCTTCATATTGCATTTGCATGGCCATTACACCAGGTCTTCAATAAATCCTTCCTAAGGAAAAAGACACATGTAACATATTCACATGAAAAAAGAAATGTTCAAACAAGTCTCTCTTCTGTCAGTGCCACAACCAAACACTACTTTAACAGCTTCTTCATAATAGCATACAATAGGTCTCTCCCACCCCACACAGCTCATACTAATTCTTTGCATCTTTGAAGGACTAAATCATTCGTTTATGGGCACTCTTCTCTCTGCACAGCAGCTTACTAAAAAACATTCAGGTCTTCTAATAAGAAATAACAGGGGATTAAACATAGAATTCTAAAGTATTTTTTAAATCTACACGAACCACATGATATCAAAAATCTCTTTATGGGATTACTTAGTAATACACAGTACTATCTGAGCCTCCATGTAGCACCAAGCTTCCTTGTCACATTAAAAGATTACTTTGAAGATTTGAATCAAGACTGTACTTCAACATCGTACTTGACGTTGGCTGTCTTCACGTAACTAACTTAACTGCCAAACTGCACCGTATCAATACCAGTTCTAGTGAAGCTAGAAAGCTAGAATAGTGATTTCCCCCTATCTGCACCTCCCCCACCCCCGCACATTTCTTCTGAGGCTTTGTAGCTCTAGATTGACATGTTAAATATCAAGCAGAGGCAGGGTACAGAAATCTGCAGCAGGTAAGGACATAAGGACTTGTGATGGAAAACAGATCACTCCATGAATGACATGGCCAGTATCATCAGTTCGTCTTACTGATGGCAGCAGAATGACAGTTTGGGGGGTGCAGGTGCTATGTGTGCATCTCCACACTGACTACCTCATCTGAAATCAGAGATGTGCCTACAGGAACATGAGAATTACCACGAGCTGGTTCAGAGGCGACGTCCACCCGATGCAGGAACAGGCGCTTCCGAGGAAGGTGGAAGAGCTTCACACCACCACTTGCTTGCTGATCCACCTCCTACCTCCAAGCCAGGACCTAGCCATGACATCACAGGACTGTAGCAAAAGAGGTGGGCAGGGATCTCCCAAGTCACGTGGCCCAGCCCCCCACCCAGTCCAGCATGACACTGAAGCGCCTGTCCCAGGTCCTGTGCACCCTGCTCCTGTGGCCCACCCAGCAGCCGCGCTGATCACAGCCTTCTCTGCCTGCCCTGCGCTGAGGTCCCTGCCTGGTGGCGATGAGGCCTCCCCTGGGCCGGGGCGGAACGACAGGGGCTGGGGGGAGGCAGGAGGAGCTGACACCCCCCAGCACAGGAGGTGCAACCCCCTCCCTCCTCCTGGTGTTTCCACCCCGCCCTAGTCCCCCCAGCCTGTAGCGCCCCGTTGGGCTACAAGCGAGGCCCAGGCACGCGTCACGCGTTTACTTATTGACATCACAGCGCTGCCGTGACGTCACGCCACCTCATTAGGCTTGTGGACACCGTTCACACCGGGCCCAGCAGCCCCGGGTGGGGCCCGGCGGCGGTTCGCGCACAGCCGGCTCCCCGAAGAACTCCTCGCGTGGGCCAAGGCGACCTCTCCCCCCGCGGGTGCGGGCCCTCCTCTCCTCTCCTCTCCTCTCACCCGCGCGCGCCCGGGCCCGTTGGCGGCCGCCGCC